CAACCTCCACCTCCTGGGTTCAAGCAATTCTCCTGCTTCAGCCTCTTGAGTAGCTGGGATTACAGGTGTCCAACACCACGCCCAGCTAATTTTTGTATTTTTAGTACAGACAGGGTTTCACCATGTTGGCCAGGCTGGTCTCCAACTCCTGACCTTAGGTGATCTTCCCACCTTGGCCTCCCAAAATGCTGGAATTACAGGTGTGAGTCAAGGCCTAGTTAATTTTATTTTATTATTTTTTTAATAGATGGGGTCTTACTTTGTTGCCCAGGCTGGTCTTGAATTCCTGGAGTCAAGTGATCCTCCTGCCTTTCTAAAGCTTTTACTCTTTGAATTAAAATGAACAAATCAGGAAATGAGCAAAGTCAGTCTCTGAAAAACTTAATTCTCTCTGCAAAGACACTGCATGTAACATTATTTAATAATAATATAGTAAGGCTGGGCACAGTGGCTCACACTTGTAATCTCAGCACTTTAGGAGGCTGAGGCAGTCAGACTGCTTGAGCCTAGGAGTTCAACACCAGCCTGGAGATGGTGAAACCCTCTATCTATAAAAAAAAAATGAGCTGGGTGTGGTGGCACATACCTGTGGTCCCGGCTACTGAAGAGGCTGAAGTGGGAGAATCACCTGAGCCCAGGAGGTTGAGGCTGCAGTGAGCTATGAGTGCACCATTGCACTCCAGCCTGGGCTACAGAGCAAAATGCTATCTCAAACAACAATAAGAGGATAGTTACAAATGTGTGATTCCAACAAGTCTGTTGCAAAACAGTGCTATAAATGACGAGAAAATAGACAGTGTGTGGCTGGGCATAGTGGCTCATAGCTGTAATCTCAGCACTTTGAGTGGCCGAGGCGGGTGGATCACTTGAGGTCAGGAGTTCAAGACCAGTCTGGCCAACAGGGTGAAACCCTGTTTCTACTAAAAATATAAAAGTTCCAAAATTAGCTGAGCATGGTGGCACATGCCTGCAGTCCCAGCTACTTGGGAGGCTGAGGCAGGAGAATCACTTTAACTCAGGAGACAGAGGTTGTAGTGAGCTGATATGGTTCCACTGTACTCCAGCCTGGGTGACAGGACAAGACTCGGTCTCAAAAAAAAAAAAAAAAAAGAAGATATTATATCAAGTTAACCAATAACAGTACTACAAAAGCTGCTCTTGAAAAATAAAAAATAAGTAATACAAGTAATATTCTGTCTCAGAAAGAAAAGAAAAGGAAAAATAAGACGGCCACTTTCTTTTTCTTTTTTCTTTTTTTTTGAGCTGGAATCTCGCTCTGTCACCAGGCTGGAGTGCAGCGGTGCAATCTTGGCTCACTGCAAACTCCGCCCCCAGGATTCAAGCGATTCTCCTGCCTCAGCCTCCCAAGTGGCTGGGACTACAGGCATGCACCACCACACCCAGAGAATTTTTGTACTTTTAGTAGAGATGGGGTTTCACCATGTTGGTCAGGCTGATCTCGATCTCCTGACCTAGTGATCTGCCCATCTCAGCCTCCCAAAGTGCTGGGAATACAGGCGTGAGCCACTGCTCCCAGCCCCAAGACAGCTATTTTTTATAAAACTTAGTAGCAGATATGAGGATTAGGATGAGAAATCAGCTAGTTGTAGGGAAAAAACATAGAGTATAAAAGAAAAGGTGATAAAAAATGACAGAACTACCAGATGAAATCAGAAATAATAACATCCAATTAAAAGGAATTTCAGAAAGAAAGAGAAAAATGAATGGAAGAAAGCCTCACAGAACAAACAAAGGTGATTTCTAGAAACACAGATGAGTCTTCAAAATATTAATACAAAGGTCTGCTGAGTACCTTGTACCACCACGCCCAGCTAATTTTGGAACTTTTGTATTTTTAGTAGTGATGGGGTTTCACCATGTGGGCCAGGCTGGTCTTGAACTCCTGACCTCAAGTGATCCACCCACCTCTGCCTCCCAAATTGCTGGGATTACAAATGTGAGCCACATCTTTCACTCAGTGACAGAAACAAGACCCACACCAAAACACATTACTGTGAAATTTCCTAGAACTAATATGAAGAGACGATTTTAAATGTTTTTTTTTTTTAATTATTATTATTATTATCATTATTATTGAGACAGATTCTTACTCCGTCTCCCAGGCTGGAGTGCAGTGGCATAATCTCAGCTCACTGCAACCACAGCCACCTGGGTTCAAGCGATTCTTCTGCCTCAGCCTCCTGAGTAGCTAAGACCACAGGTGCATGCCCCCTCACCTAACTAATATTTTGTATTTGTAGTAGCTCTATTCCACAATTTTTTTTCTTTTTGGGATAGAGGCTCTCTCTTTTGCCCAGGCGGAAGTGCAGTGACATAATCTCAGCTCACTGTAACCTCCGCCTTCTGGGTTCAAGCAATTCTTCTGCCTCAGCCTTCCAAGTAGCTGGGATTACAGGCATGCACCACCACACTCGGCTAATTTTTGTATTTTTAGTAGAGATAGAGTTTCACCATGTTGATCAGGCTGGTCTCAAACTCGTAACTTCAGAGGATCTGCAGCCTCCCAAAGTACTGGGATTATAGGTGTGAGCCACTGCACCTGGCCTATTTTTATTTTTATAAAAACAGGGTCTCCTTATGTTGTCCAGGCTGCTTTTGAACTCCTGAGCTCAAGCAATCCTCCTGCCTCAGACTCCCAAAGTTCTGGAATTACAAGCAAGAGTCACTGAGCCTGGTCTTTAAATGCTTTAAAAGAGAAAGAAAGTAACACAACACAAATCAAATTGTCATTATATTTAAAAATAAATACTGTAAGCTAGCAGACAATGTTATATAATTGAAAATTCTAAATGAAAACTACATTCAATCTAAAATTTCAAACCCAGTTGAGGTATCATACAAAAGAGGTAGAATAAAGACATTGTCAGACTTAAAAAAGTCCCAAGGTTTTGTCCCAAATTAACCTTTGTCAAAGTGCTAAACAAAACAAGGATGTTTTTCACAAAAATGAGATGCTAAACAAAAAACAAAAAAGACGTAAGTTTCAGGAAACCAGTGCCCCAATATAACAAAGAGGCACAGGAAATTCCTGAGATGATCAGGAGCTGGACATTTATTTGTTCATTTAATTTTTTTTGTGACAGGGTCTTGCTGTGTCACCCAGGCTGGAGTGCAGTGGTGCTATCACAGCTCACTACAGCCTGGACCTCCCAGGCTCAAGCCATCCTCCCAACGCAGTTCTTTTGCCAGTTGGCTTCCTTTTACTTATTCATTGATGAATCCCACATATTCATCTATTCACTCTACAGTGGTGAAACCTCATAGACATTATTTTGAGTAAGTAATAAAAGTTAACATCATCAAGAATGGAACACATTGACACTGTGTGTCTCCTGATGAGATAAACCGCATTACTTATGTGGTATTCCTGCCAAAGATGTATAAAGATGAGGTACACCCAAACTGAAAAACACTCTACAAACTAGTTGTCCTGGCACTGGGGGTCATGCCTGTAATTCTAGTACTTTGGGCGGCAGAAGTGGGAGGATCTCTTGAGCTCAAGAGTTTGAGATAACACTGGGCAACACAGCAACACCCTATCTCTACAAAAAATAAAAAATTATCGGGGTGTGGTGGTGCAGGCCTGTAGTCCCAGCTACTCAGGAGGCTGAAGCAAGAGGATCACTTGAGCTCAGGAATGAGGTTGCATCTGGTATATGTCTAGCTATCATGGCGCCATTGTATTCCAGCCCAAGTGATAAAGCAAAGCCCTGTCTCCAAAAATAAAACCTAAAACCAAAAAACAAAACTCAAGCAAAACTCACCACCACGAAAAACAAAATAACCTGGATTCTTTGAAAATGTCAAAGTCATGAACAAGTAGGATACAGAAAACAAATAGCAAGGTAGAAGATTTAAATCCAAATATTTTAGTAGTTTCATTAAATGTACATAGGAGTGTATGTGCCTATTATTAGGAGTCTGAGATAAGATAAAAGCACAGATCTCATAACAACAAATTACTTTGAAATCTTCTTTCTTGCTTTAAAAGGCATGTTGGATTTACATTCTAGTCCATAATAAATATGACTGTTTTAACATAAAAATCTATGTTGTGGGCCGGGTGCGGTGGCTCACGCCTTAATCCCAGCACTTTGGGAGGTGGGTGGATCACGAGGTCAAGAGATCGAGACCATCCTGGTCAACATGGTGAAACCCCGTCTCTACAAAAAATACAAAAAATTAGCTGGGCATGGTGGCACGTGCCTGTAATCCCAGCTACTCAGGAGGCTGAGGCAGGAGAATTGCCTGAACCCAGGAGGCGGAGGTTGCGGTGAGCCGAGACCACGCCATTGCACTCCAGCCTGGGTAACAAGAGCGAAACTCCGTCTCAAAAAAAAAAAAAAATCTATGTCGTTTATCAGATATTAGGGTTTTTTTTCCCCTCTCCTCTCAACCTCCAGATAAAATCGATGCTCCCAAATAATCCCCTTTTATTATCATTTTACAAATGCCTGGCTCCAAGGTTACTACCTGATTCAAAGATACAATCCTGGTCTCCCAAACAGGCAGCCCACATTGACACTCACACAGCTTCCACTCAAACCTGCGACCACAACGCAGCAACTTCGGGCCCTCGTCGACCAAGACCCGTTCCCAGAGGGCATCCGCACACAAGCTCATTCAGGCCACGATTTTGATTCCTTTCCTGCCGCTTCCTCCACCCGATCCAGAACGCGACCATCAGATTTCACCTTCACCTTCACCCTCAGCGCAGTGCAGACCGATCCCTGGACTCACCCATATACAGATTGAAATGTCCCCTCAGTGTTTCAGTCCCTCTGCATTCTGAGGGCGAGTTAGCATCTGGGTGCGTGAGTTCCAAACTAACAGCTAGGACCAGGCTTGAAGCGAAGAATTCCTAGGCTCGCATCGTGGCTAGTTTGACCGCGTCTCTGCCCCTGGACTACATTTCCCATCGGGTCACTGTTCGGAGCTACTTCCGCCGAGAACCAGAAGCACGTTTTCTTGTGCCGTACCTCAGATAATCGAGCTGCCAGGGATAATCAGGCCTGGCCACTCTAGCGGATGAGCCGGCCCCATAGCGAGCCGCTAGGCATGAGGGCTCGCGATCCTCGGTGCAGAGGAGCGGTACATGGAAACAAGCCCGGCTTGGCGATGAGAGGAGTAGGGAAGCCCGCAGTAGGGTTCTGCACTACATTTCCCAGAGGATAGCGCAGGCCGCGAGAAGTCTCGCGAGATTTAGGCTTCCTCTTAGCCAGGTGGCGGGACCGTTGGCTGTGCTGATTTCGCCGCCGCCGCCTGGAGTCTGGAGCAACTTGGCCAGGCTGTCCCCAACCGGAACTAGAGAAAGCTGAGGGTGAGGAATCCGGCTCCCGTCCTTTTGTGTGTGGAGGGATGAGGAGAGGAGTTTGCGTGTGTGATCGCGATGGTTGCCGTGGGTCTTCGTGGTCTGTGACTGTGGCTGTGTGATGCTGACTCTGGGTGATCAGGTGGGCGCTTGTAACTGCGCACCCGGAATGTTTGAGTGTATCCTGGACGAGCCGCGCTGTGCGTGCGCATGTGGAGATCTGCTGACTGCGTGGTTGGGGCTGCGTGTCCCGGGGTGGGTGCGTTACTGCGTGTGTGTGCAGTACCGTGTGCGCGTGAGTTGGAGGTCTGTGGCTGTGCAGGTGCAACTTGCGTGGCCCCTTGGTGTGTGTGAGAGGAGAGTGTGATGGCCGTGAGGCAATGGGTAAGTGGATATGGGGAGGTATGTGTGCGATTGGGACTTTGTGTGTCCCCTTGAGAGAGAAAAAAAAAAACAGGCAGTTAGGGTGGGTGGGTTCTTGGTAAAACGCCTTTAAACAGAAACTGCTTGAAAAATCAGGCTGCAGGCACAGATAAGGAAAACTAGCACAGGGGGTTGTCCTAAAGACATTCCTCAGCTGCACTGATAAGGGACAGAGGCCCAGCATAGAAACGCCTTTGTCCTTCGTGTGACCAGCGGGCTTCCAGGAAATAGTCGCTTCTTTCGTGGGCATGTACACGGTGGGCTCTGTTAGGTTTTGAAGGGAAGGCGAGGGTTAAAAACAGAGACAGTTGGCAGCTCAATGGCGGGGACCAGCTAAATGCCAGAGACCACTGCCCCTAACAGACTGGAGTTGTTACAGGCCTGGGTAGGAGGGATCTGCACGGTTATGGCTTGTTGCCTGGGAGATTGATAAGGATGTTTTTTGGGCCTTTGCCCAGCAGCATGCGATAAGGAAGTCAGGCGGTTGGGGAGGATATTTCTCACAGCCCGAACCCCCGTGGAATGTTTCCCTCTGACCAGGGTCTGTGAAATGGCGGGGGCTTCCAAAACTGCAGCTTGGACTAACAGGCTCCAGTGGCCACTTCCCTTCTTTGGACATGCTTTGGACTGTGAGCTGAGCCTCTACGAATTATCACTTCAGTCCCTGATTCCTCCCAGCCAAGCTTTCACTTCCGCCCCTGATTGGCCCTGGGCCAAGCTTTCACTTCAGCCCTTGATCAGTCCTGGGCCAGACTTTCATTTCAGCCTTTGTCTGGTCCCGGGCTAAGGTCCCAGGGCCAAGCTGAGTAGTGCTTTCTCCAAGACAGCCCGCAGACCAGTAAGCACATTCCTCCCCTTCCCGGTTCATGAAAACCCCAGATTCAGCCTCCTAAGTTGGCAACCTTCTTTCTGGTCCCCTCTCTGCTACGGAGAGCTTTCTTCTTTTGCTTATTAAAATTCCGCTCCAACCTCATCCTTTGTATCCACACTCCTTAATTTTCTCGGCCCTGAGAGAAAGAATTCCAGGCGATGCCGGGAACAAGGAGAGACTGCTACATTGTGGTGCACTGGCGAGACTAACACTCTTGGTGTGTCTGCAGGATTATGAATGACCCCGTGACCTGGCACAGCAACTGTGTGTGCACGGGGGGCGGGGGGGGTGTGCTGTGATTGTGCAGGTGTGACTTCACCACTCTGTTCCCAGGAGACATCTGTGAGCTCAGGATAGATTCTGGCCCTTTCCTGTAATTACAGGACTGTGCTGGACTCTCTGGTCTTCCCTGACATTCTGCCTGCATGATGTGTGGGAGTCTCAGGCTTGAAAGGTGGGGCATTCCAACCTGGCCCGTTGGGGTTTCAAAATAAGGTAAGTGTCTTACCAGTTTCTTTTTTTTTTTCTTCAAAAAAGAAAAAAAAAAAAAACCCACCTTATTTCTATTTCTATTTATTTTCTGAGATAGGGTCTCACTCTGTCACCCAGGCTGGAGTTCAGTAGCCTGGACCTCCTGGGCTCAAGTGATTTTCCCAACTCAGCCTCCTGAGTAGCTAGGACCACATGCATGTACCACCATGCTAGTATAATTTTTTTTTTTAAGTCAAGTTTTGGCTCTTTCTCTCTCACAGGCTAGAATGCAATGACGTGATCTCGGCTCACTGCAACCTCTGCCTTCCCAAGTCAAGCCATCCTCCCACCTCAGCCTCCAGAGCAGCTGGGAGTATAGGCGCAGGCCACCACACCTGACTTATTTTGGCATTTCTTGTAGAGATTTTGCCATATTGCCCAGGCTAGTCTCAAATTCCTGGACTCAAGCGATCCGCCTTCCTTGGCCTCCCGAAGTGCTGGGATTATAGGCGTGAGCCACTCCACCCAGCTTAGTTTCTTTGAACAGTTCTGTTACAAAGAGAAAGAGGAAGGAATGGTTGCTGAGCACCTGAAGACCAAGCTCAAGCTCAAAGTGCTTTGGGGTTTTTCTTTTTCTTTTTTTCTTTTTAGAGACAGAGCCTTGCTCTGTTGCCTAGGCAGCAGTACAGTGGCACAGTCTTGGCTCACTGCAAGCTCTGTCCCTACCCCCAGGTTCAAGCAGTTCGTGTGCCTCAGTCTTTCGAGTAGCTGCAACTACAGGCACATGCCACCACGCCTGGCTAATTTTTTTGTATTTTTAGTAGAGACAGAGTGTCACTATGTTGGCTAGGCTGGTCTGAAACTTCTGACCTCAAGTGATCTGCTGCCTCGGCCTCCCAAAGGGGTAAGAAACGTGAGTCAGCACGCTGAGCAGGTGGTTTTTTCTTTCTTCCCTTAAGTTGTTGTTTTCAGAACATTTTTTCTCCCTTTTCTGACAATCCCAGCCTACCACAAGCCCATTGGAAAGACCTGTACTTCCCACTGAACTATATAATGGAGGCCCTGGGGTTAAAGACTGGGTGTCCTATATGTCCTGTCTACCTTCGTATTAATTTGGCTGTTTATCCTGTGTGCAGAGTCTCCTTTTAAGATCTCTGCTGGCCTAGTGAGGCAAAGACAAGAGCCTTTATCCCAACAACTCAATTACTGAAGAGAAGATTAGTGCATATTCTATGTAGCATCACACACCATAGCCCTGGGATTGAAAGCCATGCAGTTTATGGGATGGTGTCAATCTCATCCAAATAGGTGACAAGATCTTTTACTTTGCTATTTTAGGGATAGGAATGAGATTGGGGGCTTGATCAATAGTTTGTACCAATAGGACCAGAGGTTTGCCTTGTCATTGGTGCATAAAAGCTTGGGCCAGTGTCCACATCTGTATCGCATTAAATCCTCAGGGCTGGGTGCAGTGGCTCACGCCTATAATACCAGCACTTTGGGAGGCCAAGCTGGGCACATCATGAGGTCGGGAATTCAAGACCAGTCTGGTCAACACAGTGACACTTTGTCTCTTCTAAAAATACAACAAAAAATTAGCCGGGCATGGTGGCACGTGCCTGTAATCTCAGCTACTTAGGAGGCTGAAATAGGAGAATTGCTTGAACCCAGGAGGCAGAGGTTACAGTGAGCCTTTGGCCTTTGGCTTTTTATATGTTCGTGGCTGACCAATCGCTTTGATGGGGGCTGGTCATCAGAAAGACCAAGGCAGGATTAGATGGTTCGGACTTTCAGCCCTACCCTCCCACCCCTGGGGAGTGGAAGGGACTGCGGAATAAGTTGATGGCAAGTGGCCAATGGTTTAATCAATCATGCCTATGTAATGAAGCTTTTTGTACAAACCCAAAAAGAATGTATTTGGAGAGCTTCCAGAGAGCTGAACACATGGAGGCTCTTGGAGGGTCGTGCCCAGGGAGGGCATGGAAGCTCTGTGCCCCTTCCCCCATAGCTCACCCTAGGCGTCTCTTCATTTGTATCCTTTGGAATATCCTTATAATCAGCCAGTAAATGTGTTTCTCTGAGACTTATGAGCCATTCTTTTTTTTTCTTTTTTCTTTTTTTTTTTTCTGAGACAGAGTTTCGCTCTTGTTACCCAGGCTGGAGTGCAATGGCACAATCTCGGCTCATGGCAATCTCCGCCTCCTGGGTTCAGGCAATTCTCCTGCCTCAGCCTCCTGAGTAGCTGGGATTACAGGCACGCGCCACCATGCCCAGCTAATTTTTTGTATGTTTAGTAGAGACGGGGTTTCACCTTGTTGACCAGGATGGTCTCGATCTCTTGACCTCGCAATCCATCTGCCTCGGCTTCCCAAAGTGCTGGGATTACAGGCGTGAGCCACCGCACCCAGCCGAGCCATTCTATTCTAGCAAATAATTGAACCTAAAGAGAGGGTTGTAGGAACCACAAATCAATCTCATCAGTCAGAAGTTCCAGAGGCTGGGACTTGTGACTGGTGTCTGAAAGGTAAGAAGTTTTGGGGACTGAGCCCTCAACCTGTGGAATAAAATTGGTGGACATTTAAATGCCATGTGTTTATGATGACAAGAAAAAAATCAAACTGTGAAGGACATATTTCAAAATTATATGTGTACTGTGGTCACATATGCATTGTTCTGCATATGGAAAACAGACAGGGAGAAATAGCTTTAAGTCCTAATAGTAATTTTCTTTTTCTTTTTTTTTTTTTGCCTGCCTCCCTCAATGTTGCATGTCTTTCCTATTACAAAGTATTGTATTATACATCAACCAACAAGACATTAGTTTCAGATTTTTTTATTTTTGTCTTTGAGAAACATTCTTCTGCATACAACTTCATACTTTCAAAATTCTCTGGCTTGGCTCGGTGGCTCATGCCTGTGATCCCAACACTTTGGGAGGCCCAAGTTGGATGGATCGCTTGAGGCCAGAAGTTTGAGGCCAGCCTGGCCAACATGGTGAAACCATGTCTCTACCAAAAATACCAAAAAAAAAAAAGCCAGGTGTGGTGGTATGTGCTGTATTCCCAGCTACTTGGGTGGCTGAGGCACAAGAATCGCTTGAACCCAGGAGGCAGAGGTTACAGTGAGCTATGATCACTTCACTGCACGCTAGTGTGGGCCACAGATTGAGACTTGTCTCAAAAAAAAAAATTCTTGGATAAGTGCCTAGAAATGGAATTTCCAGGTCAGCCACTAGATATTATTAATGGATTTAATATGAAAAACCTTTACTTGAGGATATATAAAGTTTTAAAACTTTATAGGGTCCCTTTAAAGGGTCCCTGTCCTTAAGTTATAAATAAAGGAGGATTTGTAAGGTAATATTTAGAAAACATCAGATAATATCCGATAAAGTCCTCCTGTTCATGCTGATGACATTGGATGGCCAGTTAAGGATGACACTTCATTCTGCCCCCTGCAACCACAGTCCTGTCCTGTGTACATGATACTGACCCTATGAAAACACTGTGGATGTGAATGCATTTCCTCAAGTACGCTTTTTGGCTTGCTGGTTTTAATCTAATGGTAGGATATCCAAAGTGAACTAACAGAGTGAAATGATTGTGCATCTGTTGGGGGGACACAGTGACAGCTAGAGCAAGGGTAGACAAGTGCTGAACTCATCTGTCCTAAGAGCCAAAGCAAGCAGCAGTGTTGCTAGCAAAGCTACTGCACATTTGTACACGCGGCTCCGATGGCTCTAACCTGTTTTTTCCCAGTGTGACCCTAATACATGGGGAAAGTTAGAAAATCAGAGTTGGCTGGGCAGCATGGCTCACGCCTGTAATCCAAGTACTTTGCACGCCAAGGTGGGTGGATCACTTGAGGCCAGGAGTTCGAGACCAGCCTCAGCAACATAGTGAAATCCTGTCTCTACTAAAAATATAAAAATTAGCCAGGCATGGTAGTGGATGCCTGTAATTACAGCTACTCGGGAGGCTGAGGTTACTGTGAGCTGAGATAAGGCCATTGCACTCCAGCCTGGGTGACAGAGCAAGACTCTGTCTCAAAATAAAAAAAAAAGGAAAGAAAATCAGAGCTTGTTAGCCACTTGCAGCCAAAGTAACAACACATGTGCACAAAAATTATTCAGTAAAAGCAAAATAGTTTTGGCGTATCTTGAGATTTTGTTTTATATCCAAAGGAAGACTATATATTTTTCTTTGAACTTCTCTTTGGAAAATGGCTTCTTTAAATATTATAGTTTTCTTCTAATTGGATCTTGAGGTCTCTTTCAGGAGAATGACTATGAACTCTAGCCTCGCCCTAATGGGGCTCTAAGGAAGGGGCTTGTAGGCCTTTACAGTTGCCTTTCTCAGGACATTTCTTTCCTGACCCACAGCCTGATGCTCAAATGTTTGACCCGTGACCAGGTGTCTCACAGTATACCCTTGTAACTCTTGTCTGACCTGTGTCCAGTTTATTCCTACCAAGATAACCACCTTTTTTTTTTTTTTTTTTTTTTGAGACAGGATCTTGCTCTGCTGCCTAGGCTAGAGTGGAGTGGCAGTCTCACAGCTAACTGCAGCCTCAGCCTCCTGGGCTTAAGCCATTCTCCCACCTCAGTCTTCCAAGTAGCTGGGACTACAGGCGTATGCCACCACATCTGGCTAATTTGTATATTATATATATATTTTTAGAGATGGGGTTTTGCCATGTTGCCCAGGTTGGTCTTGAACACCTAAGCTCAAGCAATTCACCTGCCTTGGCCTCCCACAGTGCTGTGACTACAGGTGTGAATTATCACACCTAGCCAATATACATTTAATTATCAAAGTACTATCTATACTATTTTATCAAAGTTCTAATTATCAAAGTGCAACAGAGGTTTTTAAGCTTTTTGTAGATATTTTTGAAAGATCTTGTCTTCCTTTAGGAAATGAGAAAAGGCTGCGTGTGGTGGCTCATGCCTCTAATCCTATCACTTTGGGAGGCCAAAGCAGGTGGACTGCTTGAGCTCAGGAGTTTGAGAGCAGCCTGAGGAAATGGCAAAACCTTGTTTATACTAAAAATACAAAAAACTAGCTAGGTATGGTGGCGCATGCCTATAGTCTAAGCTAACACAGAGTCTGAGATAGGAGGATCACCTGAGCCTGGAAGGTTGAGGCTTGCAGTGAGCTGTGATTGCGCCACTGCACTCCAGCCTGGGCAACAGAAGGAGACCCTGTCTCAAAACAAAAACAAAAAAAGAGGGCAAAAAAAAGAAAGAAAATGGGAAGGGAGGAGTGCCTGTTTATTAAGTTTGTTGTAAATAGTAATTTGCATATCAGATGTTGACTGAAATATTCTTTCAGCTTTGCTAGGCCTACAGCTTGCTGTGTGCTTTTCTACTCTATTTCATTTATTTGGGAAATAATATATCAATCTGTTTCATTCATTCCCAGCACAAACCATGGAATATTGGGAATGTCCCATTCTATGAAGGAGGTTTGCTGGCAGCAACAGGAAGATCCATGAACATGGAGGTACTTTGTTGAAGTTACACTAATGTTTTTACTCTTCCCCACTCTCAGCCTCGCCAGTCTGCTCAGTATAATATTCTCTCCAACCTTCAGCACCCTTTCCATCTCCTCCTTCATCTTAAAAACCTTTCCTTGGCCGGGCGCGGTGGCTCACGCCTGTAATCCCAACACTTTGGGAGGCTGAGGCGGGTGGATCACAAGGTCAAGAGATCGAGACCATCCTGGTCAACATGGTGAAACCCCGTCTCTACTACAAATACAAAAAATTAGCTGGGCACGGTGGTGCGTGCCTGTAATCCCAGCTACTCAGGAGGCTGAGGCAGGAGAATTGCCTGAACCCAGGAGGCGGAGGTTGCGGTGAGCCGAGATCGTGCCATTGCACTCCAGCCTCAGTAAACAATAGCAAAACTCCGGCTCAAAAAAAAAAATTAAATTAATAATAATAATAAATAAAAACTTTTCCTTTAATTTCAACAGTGCTGCATGTGTTTGTCATTTCAGGGGTTGGTCATGTTCCAGGATCTGTCTATAGACTTCTCTCAGGAGGAATGGGAGTGCCTGAATCCTGCTCAGAAGGACTTATACAGAGATGTAATGATGGAGAACTACAGCAGCCTGCTCTCACTAGGTAAGGATGTCTTTCCCTAAATAACTCATGAATTTTGGCTGCACCTTTTTTTTTTCTTTCTTTTTTTGAGATGGAGTTCCACTCTTGTTGCTCAGGCTCTTGTGCAATGATGCAGTCCTGGCTCACTGCAACCTTCACCTCCCAGGTTCAAGCGATTCTCCTGCCTCAGCCTCCTGTGTAGCTGGGATTATAGGCATGTGCTACCATGCTCAGCTAATTTTGTATTTTTAGTAGAGACAGGGTTTCTCCATGTTGGTCAGACTGGTCTTGAACTCCCAACCTCAGGTGATCAGCCCACCTCGGCCCCGCAAAGTGCTGGGATTACAGGTGTGAGCCACCACGCCCAGCTGGATGCACCTTTCAATTGTATGGGTGAATTTTTACCTGTTGCCTAGGGTATTGTTTTGTGTTTTGCAGATTAAGAGATGGGCAGCCCTCTGTGGTCCGTCCATCTTCTCCATGCTTCAGACCTTTACACCTTCCTCTAGTCCTTCACGAGAATTAAGGGAATAACTCTGAATTCAGTAACAGCCAGAGTATGTCTTACTTACTTAGTTTTCTTTTTTTTTTTTTGAGACGAAGTCTCACTCTGTCACCCAGGCTGGAGTGCAGTGGCACAGTCTCGGTTTACTGCAACCTTAGTCTCTCAAGTTCAAGTAATTCTCCTGCCTCAGCCTCCCAAGTAGCTGGGATTACAGGCAACCGCCACCACACCCGGCTAAATTTTATATTTTTAGTTGAGACAGGATTTCACCATGTTGGTCAGACTGGCCTTGAACTCCTGACCTCAAGCAATCCACCCACCTTGGCCTCCCACAGTGCTGGGATTATGGAAGTGAGCCACCATGCCTGACCATCTTACTTCTTTTCTTATAAACAGGTCTCTCCATCCCAAAGCCTGATGTGATTTCCTTACTGGAGCAAGGGAAAGAGCCCTGGATGGTTTCAAGGGACATCTTGGGAGGATGGTGCCCAGGTGAGTAAGGACTGAGCAGCTGGGGAAGGCACTGCTATTTAGAATCCAGCCCGTCAGAGGGGTAGCACCATAAAAATATTTATGGAGGAATCTCTTCCACAAAGTCCCATCCAAGCATTGTGGCCTAAGACATGGAAAAAAGTCGAGATAACCACCCCCAACTTTTTAAATTTCTTTGAGAGTGAGTCTTGCTCAGTTGCCCAGGCTGGAGTACAGTGGCATAATCTTGGCTTACTGCAACTTCTGCCCCTGGATTGAAGCGATTCTCCTGCCTCAGCCTCTGGAGGAACTGGCATCATAGGCTCCCACCACCAAACCCAGCTAATTTTTGTATTTTGAGTAGAGATGGGGTTTCACCATGTTGGCTAGGCTGGCCTCGAACTCCTGACCTCAGGTGATCCACCTGCTCTGGCCTCCCAAAGTGCTGGGATTACAGGTGTGAGTCACTGTGCCCAGCCAAGAACCCCCTTTTACCTCCACCTCTTGTCATAATTTCTTCCGATTTCAAAGAATAGTTTCCTTCTTCAGGAGCCATACTTTTTCTTGTATCTTAGAGCTACTTCTTTCCCTTTGAAACTTAAGCTCATATATTTTTTTTCAATCTTTTAAGATATATTTATTTTTCATACTGATCCTTGACTTTTTGTCTTGTCTTGTCTTAGCTAATTTTCCTTTGATGTAGCCATTACATGCATCAATTGATATTCATTCACTTTTTCTTTTTCTTAATTTTTTTGAGACGATGTCTTACTCTGTCACCCAGGCTGGGTGCAGTGGCACAATCTTGGCTCACTGCAACTTTCGCCTCCTGGGTTCAAGCAATTCTCCTGCCTCAGCCTCCTGAGTAGCTGGGATTACAAGTGCATGCCAGCAGGCCCAGCTAATTTTTGTATTTTTAGTAGAGACAGGGTTTTACCATGTTGGCCAGGCTGGTCTCGAACTCCTGACCTCAAGTGATCAACCTGCCTTAGCCTCCCAAAGTACTGCGATTACAGGTGTGAGCTGCCGCACAGAGCCTCATTCACTTTTTTTTTTTTTTGAGTAGTTGAGAATTCAGGCGTGCACCACCATGACTGCCTTATTTTGCATTTTTAGTAACCTTGTGGTTTTGCCATGTTGACCAGGCCGGTCTTGAACTCCAGACCTCAAGCGATCCACCTGCCTCAGACTACCAAAGTGCTGAGATTACAGACATGTGCCACCGTGCCTGGCCCTGTAGAACTTGTAAATTTTACCATCCATGGCACTCATGGTACCTGACTCAGATTTTTTTAAGAAAAATCTCATCACTTCTGAATAAATTTTAGCTATTCCATCTTGAATATGGTTTGATCCCTGTTCTTTCAGTATTACTTTCAGGAAGGCCAATGAGATCTTTGACTTTTCTTTATGACTGTTAACCTTCCTTTTGGGTTTCCAATTATTAAACCATTCTGGCGAGGTTTTGTTGTTGATTTCTTTCTCTCTCCTTTTCTCCTTGAAATTTATATGTTGAAGAAACTGGATCACCTGTTGTTTAACATGTATCTCCCTTCCCTTTATTCCTTTATTTCCTATAAACTATTGTGTATTTCATCAAGAAGCACATGTCTGGTTGTTGCTCTTTTTGTGATGTTAGCAACCATTCCTCATCTCATCCCCAAAAATTACTGGGTAATTTTAAAACTGTCCTTATGAACACACAGATTTTAAAAATATTTGATGTGATTATGGTAATTACATTACAATGATTGCAGTTATTATTCTTGAATTCATGCTCAACTTGTCCCAACAGGCCAATAGGACACTCTTCACAATGTTTCCTGAGTCTATTTGACATGACCCTAAGAGTCTTGAATAGCTTCTTTGCTTTTTTAATATGCCAGCTTTTTCAATGTACATAATGAACACTTTCTGTCCCAATCCCAAGATGCTCCAAGGAGCCCAGGTTCTGGGTAGTAAAAGATGGTATTTAGAGACAGTAAAATCTGTCATCTGTCATTAGCATGTTCATTGCTGCTGGACTGGTTGTTTCTAAGACTTCAACAGATGAAGATGGAAAGTATTTTTTAAAAATCAAGATTGCAGCCTTACATTGCCAATTCAAATTCATTCATTGAATTTTGAGTTTCAATTATTCATGTGTTAATTTTTAGACCCCCATTTGTGTCTTTTACAAAAATTTGCTTGGCCTTTTTGCTAATGAAATGTTACTTTCTCACTTTAAAAAAGTAAACTTTAGATTTACAGAAAAGCTACAGGTTGGTGCAGAGACTTCCCATATACATCACATGTAGTTTCCAATTAACATCTTATATTTGTACATCTGTCATAATGAATGACTGTTGATCCTATCTAATAATAATATTGTTGAAGCAATGTTATTATTATTTATCTCTCCTATGGTGCTGAGATCTATTATTATTAATGAAAGCCCCTACTTTACTCAAATTTCCTTAGCTTTTACCTAACGTCCTTTTTTTCTATTCTAGGGTCTCATCTAGGATAACACATTACATTGAGTCATCATGTCTCCCTTGGCTCCTCTTTGCTTTGACAGCTTTTCAGGCTTTCCTTGTTTGTGATTATCTCAATAGTTTTCGAGAGTTCTGGCCAGGTATTTTGTAGATTGTCTCTAATTTTGGGGCTTGTCTAGTGTTTTTCCAGTGATTAGACTGGAGTTCAGGATTTTTTAGAAGGAAGCACACGGAGATAAACTGCTGTTCTCATCACATCATATAAGGGTACCTACTATCACCATATATGCACACCATCTTTCCTTTTTTTTTTTTTTGAGACAGGGTCTTGCTCTGTCACCCAGGCTAGAGTACAGTGGCACAATCATAGCTCACTGTACCCTCGAACTCCTGGGCTCAAGCAGTCCTCCTGCCTCAGATTCCCAAAGTGCTAGGATTATAGGCATGAGCCTCCACACCCAACCTGTCTTTACTTCCTAAGGAGTAAAGATTATTTCGTTATTTTCAGTTTGTCTCCCCTTTCTATCATAGATATATTTATTTCTACTCAACAAGAAAACACTATGTTTTTGCTTTCTGGTTATTTTTCAGACTTGGAGTTCAGATGTCAGACCAAATATTCATGTCTGCCAAAAGAAATCTCTGAAGTAACATCATCTCAGTGGGTGAGAATGGAAAAACGTCATAGCCTTGTGGGCTCCAGTTTCAGAGATGACTGGGAGAGCAAAGGCCAGTTTGAGCAACAAGGTATAAATCAGGAGCGACATTTGGAAAAAGCATTAATGACTTATGAAAAAATGCCAGCTTTCTGCCTACAGACATCTTTCACTTTGCATCATCAGATTCAGCCTGGAGAGAAACTGTATAAATCCACAGAATGTATGGCTCTTAAGTATGGCTCAGAACTTACACAAGAGCAAGAAACCCATACTAGTGAAAAACTCCATAAATGTAAGGAGTGTGGGAAGGCCTTTGGTCATTTTTCCTATCTTGTTAAACATCAGAGAATTCATACTAGGGAAAAGCCCTATGCATGTAAAGAATATGGAAAAGCTTTTGTTTCTGGTTCACATCTTATCCAACACCAGAAAATTCATACAGATGAGAGACCTCATGAGTGTCAGGAATCTGTGAAGGCCTTTAGACCATCTGCACACCTTACTCAACATCAGAGAATTAATACTGGTGACAAACCTTATGAATATAAAGAATGTGGAAAATCTTTTACTTCTGGCTCAACACTAAATCAACATCAGCAAATTCACACTGGTGAGAAACCCTATCATTGTAAGGAATGTGGAAAATCTTTTACTGTTCGCTCAACACTAATTCGACACCAGCGAATTCACACTGCTGAGAAACCTTATGATTGTAAGGAATGTGGAAAATCTTTTGTTTCAGTCTCAGCATTAATTCGACATCAGCGAATTCACACTGGTGAGAAACCCTATGATTGTAAGGAATGTGGAAAGTCTTTTACTTTTCGCTCAGCACTAATTCGACATCAGCGAATTCACACTGGTGAGAAACCCTATCATTGTAAGGATTGTGGAAAATCTTTTACTTTTCGCTCAGGGTTAATTGGACATCAGACAATTCACACTGGTGAGAAACCCTATGATTGTAAAGAATGTGGAAAATCTTTTACTGCTGGCTCATCACTAATTCAACATCAGCGAATTCACACTGGTGAGAAACCCTATGATTGTAAGGAATGTGGGAAATCTTTTGCTTCAGCCTCAGCGCTACTTCAACATCAGCGAATTCACACTGGTGAGAAACCTTATTGTTGTAAGGAATGTGGAAAATCTTTTACTTTTCGCTCAACACGAAATCGACATCAGCAAATTCACACTGGTGAGAAACCCTATGATTGTAAGGAATGTAGGAAATCTTTTGCTTCTGGCTCAGCACTACTTCAGCATCAACGAATTCACACTGGTGAGAAACCCTATCATTGTAAAGAATGTGGAAAATCTTTTACTTTTCGCTCAGGGCTAATTGGACATCAGGCAGTTCATACTGGTGAGAAACCCCATGATTGTAAAGAATGTGGAAAATCTTTTACTTTTCGCTCAGCACTAATTCACCATCAGCGAATTCACACTGGTGAGAAACCTTTTAATTGTAAGGAATGTGGAAAATCTTTTACTGTTGGCTCAACACTAATTCAACATCAGCAAATTCACACTGGTGAGAAACCCTATGATTGTAAGGAATGTGGGAAGGCCTTTAGACTTCGTTTACGACTTACTCAACATCAACAGATCCATACTGGTGAGAAATCTTACCAATGTCAGGAATGTGGGAAAGCCTTTACCAGTGTCTCAGGACTCACCCAACATCACAGAATTCACACCGGTGAGAAACCCTATGAATGTCCAGAATGTGGGAAGGCCTTTACACAGCGTACATATCTTAATCAACACCGGAGAATTCATACTGGTGAGAAACCTTATGAATGTAAAGAATGTGGGAAATCTTTTACTTTCTGCTCAGGACTAATTCAACATCAGCAAAATCACACTGGCGAGAAACCCTATGATTGTAAAAAACGTGGGAAATCTTTTACTTCTCACTCAACACTCATTCAACATCAACAAACACACACTGGTGAGAAACTCTATGATGATAAGGAATGTGGGAAATCTTTTACTTCTCATTCAACACTAATTCAGCATCAGCGAATTCACACTAGTGAGAAACCCTATGATTGTAAGGAATGTGGGAAATCTTTTACTTCTCACTCAACGCTAACTCAACATCAGCGAATGCACACTGGTGAGAAACCCTATCATTGTAAAGAATGTGGGAAATCTTTTACTCTTCGCTCAGCACTAATTCAACATCGGCCAATTCACACTGGTGAGAAACGCTATGATTGTAAGGAATGTGGAAAATCTTTTACTTCTCACTCTACACTAATTGAACATCAGCGAATTCACACTGGTGAGAAACCCTATCATTGTAGGGAATGTGGAAAATCTTTTACTTTTCGCTCAGCACTAATTCAACATCAGCAAATTCACACTGGTGAGAAACCCTATGATTGTAAGGAATGTGGAAAGGCCTTTAGACGTCGTTCAAAACTTACTCAACATCAACGAATCCATACTGGTGAGAAACCTTATCAATGTCAGGAATGTGGGAAAGCTTTTGTCCGTTTGTCAGGACTCACCAAACATCACAGTATTCACACTGGCGAGAAACCCTATGAATGTAAAACATGTGGGAAGTCCTTCAGACAGCGTACACACCTTACTCTACATCAGAGAATTCATACTGGTGACAGACCTTATGAATGTAAAGAATGTGGAAAATCTTTTACTTGCGGCTCAGAACTAATTCGACATCAGCGAACTCACACTGGTGAGAAACCTTATGATTGTAAGGAATGTGGGAAGGCCTTTCGATGTCCTTCACAACTCAGTCAACATAAACGAATCCATACTGGTGACAAAACGTATCAATGTCCAGAATGTGGGAAAGCCTTTTTCTATGCCTCAGGACTCAGCCGACATTACAGTATTCACACTGGCGAGAAGCCTTATGAATGTAAGACATGTGGGAAGGCCTTTAGACAGCTTACACAGCTAACTCAACATCGGAGAATTCATGACCTAACATAATTAATGTAGGAAACCATTCTCATGCCACTCATTTGCCATGGATCATCAGCAGATTCCATATGTGGGTCAAACACAATGGATGTGGGAATTCCTTTTACTTCATGTTCACTTTTTTCAAAATTAGGACATTTAATACTGAAAGAAGTTGATAATGAATGCAAATGAGTTTTCTATCGACTCAAAGCTTGTTGAAATACAAATTCGTATTAGAGAATGTGGTCAATGACAAATGACAACCATTTACTACCTATGTGACATTTGGCTAATTATATGAACTCTGTGCCAAAATTACTAAATGGTAAAATGTTGATAGTATTAGTTTTTCTGTTTGTTTTGAGATGGAGTCTCACTCTTGTTGCCCATATTTTTAGTAGAGATGGGGTTTCACCATGTTGGCCAGGCTGGTTTCGAACTCCTGACCTCAAGTGATCCACCCGCCTCAGCCTCTCAAAGTGTTGAGATTACAGGCATGAGCCACTGCACCTGGCTCCGGCTCCTTTAAAAATATTTAGACATAGGCCAGGCACGGTGGCTCACGCCTATAATCCCAGCATTTTGGGAGGCCGAGGCAGGTGGATCACAAGGTCAAGAGATCGAGACCATCCTGGTCAACAAGGTGAAACACTGTCTCTACTAAAAATACAAAAAATTAGCTGGGTATGGTGCTGCACGCCTGTAGTCCCAGCTACTCGGGAGGCTGAGGCAGGAGAATTGCTTGAACCCAGTAGGCAGAGGTTGCAGTGAGCCGAGATCGCACCATTGCACTCCAGCCTGGGTGACGAGCGAAACTGTGTCTCAAAAAAAAAAAATTTAGACATATATATATGTTTATATTTCCAAAGGCACTCATGCATCAATTATATTCAATATTTCTGAGCCATCCCTGTGTTAGGAACTGCTGATACAATAGTCTGTAAGAAAAATAACTTTTGTTGTCTTGGAGTTTAAGTATAGTAGACAGTAACAAATAAATTATATATGTAATATAAAACCAGGCTGTATGTGTGTTATAAAGTAAGTAAGGTAAGGGATTAGAGAAAAATGGGGTGGGCAGGGCTAATTTGGATAAGGTAGTCAGGAAAGGCATTTTTTTTTTTGAGTCGGAGTTTCGCTCTTGTTACCCAGGCTGGAGTGCAGTGGTACAATCTCGGCTCACCACAACCTCCACCTCCTGGGTTCAGGCAATCCTCCTGCCTCAGCCTCCTGAGTAGCTGGGATTACAGGCACGCGCCACCATGCCCAGCTAATTTTTTTTTTTTTTTTTTTTTTTTGTATTTTTAGTAGAGACGGGGTTTCACCATGTTGACCAGGATGGTCTCGATCTCTTGACCTTGTGATCCACCTGCCTCGGCCTCCCAAAGTGCTGGAATTACAGGTGTGAGCCACCGCGCCTGGCCATTAATTGTAGTTTTCTTTTATAAAGAGGAGGTTTCACCATGTTGGTCAGCCTGGTCTTGAATTCCTGACCTCAGGTGATCCGCCCGCCTTGGCCTCCAAAGTGCTTGGATTACAGGTGTGAGCCACTACGCCCAGCCAGGAAAGGCATTTCTGACAAGTTGGTATTTGCATGAATGTAGATACATGGTTGCATTTTATTATACATAAATTGTACTTCAATAAAGTTGATGAAAACTTAAAAACTCATCCACTATGTACTTCAGATTGTTGTATTTCATTCTATTTAAGTTATACTTCCATTTTAAAAAGTTAACACATCTCTACAACTTACACATCTATTTTTTTCTACTTTTACTAATATGCTTATGGATGATTTTAAATATATATATATCTTATCCATTAAGGATGATAAAACAACCTTTTAAGAAGGTTATTTTGGCCGGGCACGGTGGCTCAAGCCTGTAATCCCAGCACTTTGGGAGGCCGAGGCGGGTGGATCACAAGGTCAAGAGATGGAGACCATCCTGGTCAACATGGTGAAACCCTGTCTCTACTAAAAATACAAAAAATTAGCTGGGCATGGTGGCACATGCCTGTAATCTCAGCTACTCAGGAGGCTGAGGCGGGAGAATTGCTTGAACCCAGGAGGCGAAGGTTGCAGTGAGCTGAGATCACGCCACTGCACTGCAGCCTGGGTAATGAGGGAAACTCCGTCTCAAAAAAAAGAGGAGGTTATTTTAAGGTTAATCAGTTGAGGCTTTGTCTCAACTGATTCTTTCGTCTCAATTTGTAGTCAGTTGAGGTTTGTCTCAATTTATTGAAACAAATCAAAGGTTTGTTTTCAAATTCTTACTCTCATTTATTATTCCTTCTCCATATTTTTGGTACTGGTTCCTTGGCAGTATTTAATCATAAATATATATAGAGAGTGAAGACAGAAGAGTGCTTTTTACAGTTCACAGTTGTCTTTTTCGTGTGTGACAGGGTTTTGCTGCATTGCTCAGGCTGTAGTGCAATGGCACAATCTCAGCTCACTGCAGCCTCAACTTCCCGGGCTCAATTGATCCCCCACCTCAGCCTCCTGAGTAGCTGGGACTACAAGTGCACACCACCACACAGAGCTAATTTTTGTATTTTTTGTAGAGAAAGGGTTTCATCATGTTGCCCAGGCTGGTCTTGAACTCCTGGGCTCAAGTGATCCTCCCACCTCAGCCTCCTAGGTTCTGGGACTTAGAGGTGTGAACCACTGTGCTCAGCCAACACTATGTTTTTACTCTTTTTGTGAAAAAAGTAGAAAATTTTTTTTAAAGAGCAGAGAAAAGCACAATGAAAACAGAAAGATCACCCGTATATTCTTATCAACCAAAGATGACCTATTTGGGGTAAATCCTTTTAATAGAGGATTTTCAATATTTCTAGGCTGCCACAGTGTTGGAAAGAAGAATCATTACTGACATCTTACGGCATTGAGTTTTTCTCTTCCTATACCTGGTATATCTCTATGTTTCACTGGGTATTCTTTTAGGTGCTTTAGTAAGTCTTTATATTTTTAGCATAAAGGTTTACACATTTCTTATTTTACTTATTTCTAGATAATGATTTTTTCTTTATATTATGATTGGGATACTTTTTCTGTTATGTAATTGATTACTATGTACTAAATGCTGTTTTTTTTTTTTGCCTAAGGATTGTAACATTGATAAACTAGTAGATCGAATGGTTTCTTCATGAGATTGAATTGTCTAGAAAGATGTCAGTATTATTCGTAAATAAAAATGTCTATTCCTTTCTATATGCCTCATTTCTTAATTTGTACTTGTAGCTTGGATCATATGTATAGTATGAATGTATACAGCACTAATTAGTTTCCTCATCTTGACCCTTTCTGTAAGGGCGTTTTTTTTTGTTTTTTTTTTCAGGGTCTCACTCTGTTACCAGGCTTGAATGCAGTGGCATTATCACTGCTCACTGCAGCCTCCACCTCCCAGGCTCAATCAATCCTTCCACCTCAGCCTCCTGAGTAGATGGGACTACAGGTGTGCACTACCACACCTGGCACATTTTTGTATTTTTTGCAGAGATGGGGTTTTGCTATGATGTCAAGGCTGGTGTCGAACCTCTGGGCTCAAGCAATCCACCCTCCTCAGCCTCCCCAAGTGCTGGGATTACAGGTTTGAGCCATCATGCCTGGCCAAAGGACTTTCTTTTGTTGCTTGCTTTTTGAGACTGAGTCTCTCTCTGTCACCCAGACTAGAGTGCAGTGGCGTGATCTTGGCTCACTGCAATCTCCACCTCCCAGGTTCAAGAAATTCTCCTGCCCTCAGCCTCCTGAGTAGCTTGGATTACAAGCATGTGCCACCATGCCCAGCTAATTTTTTTATTTTTAGTAGAGACAGGGTTTCACCATGTTGGTCAGGGGGCTTGTCTCAAACTCCTGACCTAGTGATCCACCCACCTCAGCCTCCCAAAGTGCTGGGATTATAGGCGTGAGCCACTGTGCCCAGTCAAGAGAGTATTTTTAATATTCACCATTAAGGATGATTGCAGGTTTATGGTTTTACTAATTAAAATAATTTTTGGCCAGGCACAGTGGCTCTATACTCCAGCCTAGGTGACAGAGCAAGACTCAAAAAACAAATTTAATAAAGAAACTGTGTTAAACTATTAATAAAACCACTTGGGCTTATATTTAGTCAGAGATTATATCTTCCACTATTCAAAGACAAGACCTCGTTATTTTCTTATTAAGTTGGTTGACGTATAATTTACATAGATTGCAATTCATACTTTTAAATGAACAACTTGATTAATGTTAATATCAGTATATATCTGTTATGCTACTAGCACAATCAGAGAACATTTTCACCATCCCCCAAACACCCCTCATGTCTGTCTGCAGTCAGCCTTCCCTCCCTGCTTATTTGCAGCTCACTACAACTCACTACAACTGCAGTTCTGCTTCTTTTAACTGTAGCGGGGTTTTTTCTTTTTTGTTGTTGTTTAGTTTTGTTGAGACGGAGTTTCACTCTTGTTGCCCAGGCTGGAGTACAATGGCGCGATCTCAGCCTACTGCAACCTCTGCCTCCTGATTTCAAGCAATTCTCCTGCCTCAGCCTCCCAAGTAGCTGGGATTACAATCATGTGCCACCATGCCCAGCTAATTTTGTACTTTTAGTAGAGACGGGGTTTTACTATGTTGGCTAGGCTGGTCTCAAACTCCTGACCTCAGCTGATCACCTTCCTCGGCCTCCCAAAGTGCTGGGATTACAGGCATGAGCCACCATGCCTGGCCTGTAGTTTTGATGTCCATACTTTCACTTCTGACACTGGCAATTTGTATGTTCTGTCTCTCTTTTGATCAGTCTGGCTAGAAGTTTATCATCTTATTGATCTCTTCAAAAAACCAATTAATATTTTTTCAAATTTTTTTACTGTGGTAAAATACATATAAAATTTACCATCTTATTTTTAAGTGTACAGTCAGTACTAAGTCCATTCATAATGTACAACCAACATCTATCTCCAGAACCCTTTTCATGTTCATTTTGTAAAACAGCAACTGTAAACCTATCAAGCAACACCTCCTTCCCATTTCCCCTTTTCTCAATCTTCTAACCTCTGGTGACTACTCTTCTATTTCTGGTATGTATAAAAGTGACTGCACCAAGTACCTCACAAAAGTGGAATCAGAATATTTGTCCTTTTGTGTCTGCCTTATTTCACTTAGCATAATATCCTCAAGGTTCATCCATGTTGTAGAATGTGTCAGAACTTCCTTTTTAAAGACTGAATAATATTCTACTGTAGATATATACCGTGTTTTGCTTATCCATCTGTTGATGGACACCTGGGTTGCTTCCACATTTTACCTATTTTGAATAATGGTGCTGTGAATATGCTGAATATGGGTATACAAATTTCTTTTTCTTTTGAGATAGAGTTTCACTCTTGTTGCCCAGGACGGGGTGCAATGGCACGATCTCAGCTCACCACAACCTCTGCCTCCTGGTTTCAGGCGATTCTCCTGCCTCAGCCTCCCGAGTAGCTGGGATTACAGGTATGTACCACCACATCTGGTTACTTTTGTATTTTTAATAGAGACAGGGTTTCTCCATGTTGGTCAGGCTGGTCTCAAACTCCCAACCTCAGGTGATCCACTCACCTTGGCCTCCCAAAGTGCTGGGATTACAGGTGTGAGCCACCATGCCTGACCTCTCTTTTCTTTGAAATGGGGGTCTTTCTCTGTCACCCAAGCTGGAGTGAAGTGGCATGATCTTCGCTCACTACAGCCTTGACCTCCCAGGCTCAAGTGATCTTCCACCTCAGCCTCCTGTGTAGCTGAGTTTGTAGGCATGGGCCACCACACTCAGCTAATTTTTGTATTTTCTGTAGAGATGAGGTGTTGTTATGTTGCCCAAGGCTGGTCTAGAACTTCTGGGCTCAAGTGATTAACCTACCTCTGCCTCCCAAAGTACTGGGATTACAGGCTTGGTCAGTCTTTTAAAATTAGTTTTGGGTCTACTTGTTCTATCAGTGATAGGGGAGTGTTGAAATAACTAACGATAATTGTGTATTTCTCTATATCTTTTTCGGTTTTATCTGTTTTTGATCTGTGCCTTTTGGAGCTCAGTTATTACGTACTTACACATTGATGATTGTTTTTCCCATTTATCATTACAAAATTCCCTCTTTGCTCTGACCTGGTAACAGTCCTTATTGTGAAGCCTACTCTGTCTGATATTAATATAGCCATGATTGGTGGTTGTATGGTATAGCTTTTCCCATCTTTTTTACTTTTAAACTATCTAGGTGTTTAAAGTGGGTGTCTTGTAGACAATGTATAGTTTTTGTTTGCTGTTTTGTTGTTATTATTGTTGTTGTTTTAAGACACGGTTATGCTCTGTCACCCAGGCTGGAGTGCAGTGGTGCAGTCACAACTCACTGCAGCCTCAACCACCTGGGCTCAAGCATTCCTCCTGCCTCAGCCTCCTAAAAAACTAGCACCACAGGCACGTGCCATGCCTGGCTATGTTCTTGCATTTTAAAAAAAAAATTTTTTTTTTTTTTTTTTTTTTTTAAAGATGGGGTTTCACCATGATGGCCAGGCTGGTCTTGAACTCCTGACCTCAGGTGATCCACCCACCTCGGCCTCCCAAAGTGCTAGGATTACAGGCGTCAGCCGCCGCGCCTGGCCTGTTCTTGCATTTTTATCCAATCTGACAATCTCTGCCTTTAGTTGTAGTGTTTAGATCAAGGAATGGCAAACTATGGTTACCGGGCTAAATCCAGCCTCACTTGTTTTATATATAGTTTTGCTGGAATATACCATGCCCATTTGTTTACATGTTTAAAATTGCTTTTCTGCTACAACTAAGGGGTTGAGTGATTTGACACAGACTCTACGGTCCACAAAACTTAGATATTTACACTCTGGCCTGTTACTGATAAAGTTCTCTGATCCCTGGTTTAGATTATTAACATCTTAAGTGAGTATGAGTATGGTTAGATTTAGTTCCACCAGCTTGCCATTTGTTTTGTCCCGTTCCTTGCTTGTTCCTTTCTTCTTTTTCTTTCCTTTTTTTTTTTTTTTTTTTTGAGTCTCCCTCTGTCGCCTGGAGTGCAGTTGCACAATCTCGGCTCACTGCAACTTCCAACTCCCGGGTTCAAGCCATTCTCCTCCCTTAGCCTCCTGAGTAGCTGGGATTACAGGCACATGCCACCATGCCCAGCACATTTTTTGTATTTTTAGTAGAGATGGGGTTTCACCATGTTGGCCAGGATGGTCTCGATCTCCTGACATCAAGTGATCCATCTGCCTTGGCCTCCCAAAGTGCTGAGATTACAGGCGTGAGCCACCAGGCTCAGCCTGTTCCTTTCTTCTTTACAATTGTTTTTCATGATTCCATTTTATCTCTACTATTATTAATTAATTATACCTCTTTGTTTTTATATTTTCTAGGGCTTTCTCTAATGTCTATAATATACATCTATTTTTTATGTTTATTATGGTTTTTTTTTTTTTTTTTGAGACAGAGTCTTACTCTGTCACCCAGGCTCTGGAGTGTAGTGGCACAATCTTAGCTCACTGCAACCTCTGCCTCCCAGGCTCAAGCAATTCTCCTGTTTTAGCCTCCCAAGTAGCTGGAACTACAGGCATGTGCCACCGCACCCTGCTAATTTTTCTATTTTTTTGTAGAGACAGGGTTTCCAACATGTTAGCCAGGCTGGTCTCAAATTCCTGACTAGGTGATCCCGCCAGCCTCAGCCTCCCAAAGTGCTGGGATTACAAGCCTGAGTCACCATGCCCACTTATTTCCCTTCATTTTCATTTATTTATTTATTTATTTTTAGACAAGTTCTTGCCCTGTCACCCAGAGTGTAGTGCAGTGGCACCATCACAGCTCACTGCAGCTATGAACTCCTGGGTTCAAGTGATTCTCCACCTCAGCCTCTCAAGAGTCTGAGAATAAAGATGCATGCCACCATAGCCAGCTAATTTTTGTATGTTTTGTAGAAATAGTTTTGCCACATTGCCTAGGCTAATCTTGAACTACTGGGCTTAGGTTATCTGCCAACCTTGGCTTTCTAAAATTCTCAGATTACAGGTGTGAGCCACTGAACATGGCCTTATTCTGCTTCTTTATATGTGGAAACCTAGCTACTGACTTTTTACATATTTGTGCAATCCTACCACACACAGAAAGCAATTTTAAAATTACTACACACCCACTACTGTAACAAATAAACATATTAAGATTTTAAGTTATCTTTATGGAATTCACAAAATGATATTAAAATGTCTTTTAAACATTTGAGATATTATACTTCACCCACAATAAAAGAAATGTAAGAAATTATACTGAGAAACAATTTTGTACATATCAAGTTGACAAAAATGAAAACAGTTAACAATATATTCTGTTGGTGGAGCTATGGAGAAACACCCATATCATACATTGCTGGTGGCAACTCAAAACTATAATTTTTGTTAGATCAACAAAACTATGCAAGTGTTTACCTTTGATTCACTAATACCACTTATAGGTATGTATTTTTAAAATATACTTCCAACAATATGAAAATATAATTGTACAAAATTATTCACTACAGTATTATGTGTAATAGCAAAATACTGGAAATAATCTAAACACCCATACATAGAATAAACTATTGTCTATTCTCACTGTGGAGGAGCTGTTAAAAAAAGAAGAAAATCTTATAAATGGATTTAGATCTAATAAACAACACACTGGTGAATTCCCTGGGTTGTCCTTTTGGTCTCATATAGCTCAACCTGGAGCTGAAGAAGCGAGAAACCTCCTGGAAACACCAAGAGATGCAGGAAAAAAAAACAGGTCAGGGCGCAGTGGCTCATGCCTGTAATCCCAGCACACTTTGGGAGGCCAAGGCAGGTGGATCACAAGGTCAAGAGAGCCAAACCATCCTGGCCAACATGGTGAAACCCCATCTCTACTAAAAATAGAAAACTTAGCTGGGTGTGGTAGTGCCTACCCAGCCAGGTACTTGGGAGGCTGAGATAGAATAGCTTGAACCCGGGAGGTGGACGTTGCAGTGAGCTGAGATTGAATCACTGCACTCCAACCTGGCGATAGAGACTCCATCTCAAAAAAACCTGGTGGGAGGATCAATTAAACCAGGGAGGTCAAGGCTGCAGTGAGTTGCAATCATGCCACTGCACTCCAGCCTGGACGCCAGAGAAGACAGCCCCCCTCCCCGCCACAAAGGACTTTGAAGTAGTAATTGTAGAGAACTCACCAAATTTGGCAAAAGACAGGTTCAAGAAGCTGAGTGAATTTCCCATCCACAAAATGTAACACCACAACATGTCATACCCAACTTCTGAAAATTAAAGACACAATAAGTCTTGAAAGTAGCAAAATATTGTATTTTAGAGGGGGAAAAAAAATAGCAGATTTCTTATGAGAAACCATGAAGACCAGATGGTTTTAAAAACAGGAAGGAAAATAAAAAATAAGAGAAGCCATGAAGACCAGAAAGAATTGACATTGAATTTCAAGTGCTGAAAGGAAGAACTCTCAATCCCAAATCCTGTTTTCAGAAAAATGTGTTCAAGAATGAAAGAAATCTATATTATTAATCATTTGGGAAATGCAAACCAAAATCTCAATGACGCCAGGGGCAGTGGCTCATGCCTGTAATCCCAGTATTTTGAGAGGCCAAGGCAGGCAGATCACCTGAGGTCGGGAGTTCGAGACCAGCTTGACTAATGTGGGGAGACTCCCATATGTACTAAAAATACAAAATTAGCCTGGTATGGTGGCACATGCTTGTAATCCCAGCTACTCGGGAGGCTGAGGCAGGAGAACAGCTTGAACCCAGGAGGTGGAGGTTGCAGTGAGCTGAGATTGTGCCATTGCACTCCCGCCTGGGCAGCAAGAGTGAAACTGTCTCAAAAAAAAAAAAAAAAAAAAAAAATCTCAATGAGATACTTGACATCCACAAAAAAAAAGCCATAATTTAAAAAAATTTTAAAGAAAAATAAGTGATGGAAAGAATATGAAGAAATCTGAACTTTTTTTTGTTTTTGAGACAGAATCTCACTGTCACATAGGCTGGAGTGCAGTGGCACAATCTTTGCTCACTGCAACTTCTGCCTCCCAGGTTCAATGTATTCCCTTGCCTCAGCCTTCCAAGTAGCTGGGATTACAGGCACCTGGTACAACACCTGGCTAATTTTTTTTTGAGATGAAGTCTTGCTTTGTCACCTGCAGTGCAGTGGCATGATCTCGGCTCCCTGCAATGTCTGCCTGCCTGATTCAAACAATTCTCCTGCCTCAGCCTCCCGAGTAGCTAGGAGTGCAGGCATGCACCACCATGCCCACCAATTTTTATATTTTTAGTAAAGATGTGGTTTCACCATATTTGCCAGGCTGGTCTTGAACTCCTGACCTCAGGTGATCCACCCATCTTGGCCTCCCAAAGGGCTGGGATTACAGGCATGAGCCAACACCCCAGGCCTGAGAAATCTGAAGCTTTTTGCCTTGTCATTGGGAACATAAAATGGTAAAGCCACTGTGAGAAACAGAATGTTGATTCTTTAAAAAGTTAAACACAGAATTCCCATATGATACAGTCATAGACAATTTTATAAGAAACTATTTCATCAGTTTTTCATATAAACATGTTAAAACTTAAAAGTTAGCATGATTATAGAAAGATGCCCAATGATTATTAGACAAATACTTTTGTGAGTTGTTTATATAGCCTATACTGGAAGTTTTCTTAGATAATAAAACATCCTTAAATAATCTCTGGGTTCTTTACTGATTTTTTGTTTTGTTTAAGACAGAGTCTTACTCTGTCACCCAGGCTGGAGTACAATGGCATGATCTTGGCTCACCGCAACCTCCACCTACTGGGTTCAAGTGATTCTCCTGCCTCAGGCCCCCAAGTAGTTGGGATTACAGGTGTGCACCACCACACCTGGCTATTTTTTGTATTTTTAGTAGAGATGGACTTTCACCATGTTAGCCAGCCCAGTTTTGAACTCCTGACCTCAGGTGGTTCGCCCGCCTCAGCTTCCCAAAGCGTTGGGATTATAGGTGTGAGCCACCACGCCCGGCCTTGTGATTATATTATCAAAGTTTGGCCATTTTAAAAACTGTCCATTAATAAGTACTTTCTAGTTCTTCATATTCAAGATATATAAAACATGAATATATGTAGTATGTATGAAAATAAAGTGGACATTGGACACAGTGTTCTACCAAAACAGTACATGGCTATTTCACGATATAATCAGTAAATCAGGAGACAGGCAGGACATGTAGTGATGCCACAGATACTTTTTATTTTTTTGTGGTAGCCACTGAAATGTTTGGTAATGCAAAAATCAAACGGGAGTAGAATGCCCATGACAATGTGACTCACATGCTCCCAAATCTTTGGTGGATTGATGCTAGAACAAACATCCAGTTAGGCCATCCTCCCGACCTAGGAAAACAAGGTAAGCTTTTATCTTTGCTCACGAGTACAATTCTTATGTTAGTCACTATTGTTTGCATATACCAGTATATAACTCACCTATAAATTCACTTTCAAATGACAAAATCCTTGGGTTCTCACAGTTCTAAGTCCTATAATTTTACCTGGTTTAGTTACTTTAATAGGTTTATCCCATCTCCATATTCTTTAAAAAATCTATATGCATAAATAAATTAAGGCTAAGTTAAATGATGTCTGTCTAGTCATTATAGATAAGGCTTTATATATATACAAACATATATACACGTGTGCATTTTCTGTATGCTACTTTCAAGTCTAAATTTTTATGCTTTTGTTTCATCACCTTACTCACTTTTTGCTCTGAAATTATCAGAAAAATAAGAATTGACAAGCATGTTTCCATTTAATTACCAATGGCTGCCCCTTTCTAACAGGCTAGAGGGCCTGTTTAATATTTTTAATGTCAAATACTTGAACCATGAACCATCTTCCAGTATATGCAGATATGGTTTATAGTTCTAAATATTTTAAGAAGTGAATTTCAACTTCTACTGAATTTTATTACAATAACTCATATATGTACTAAATATTGGTTGGAAATAATCTTTCCCAAGAAGTACCTGTAATAATGCTGTTCAAGTTGCCACTGAGCTTACTCTTCTAATCAAAAGGATGCTATGGAAGTCACTGTCTTAGCAGATTTCCAATTCTCAAACATCAAAATCTCTTTGGTCATTTATTTGGGACTTTCAGAGACTTACATTTCCTATGACATAGATTAAGGTATAAAAGGCTTATGTTGTGGCTGGGCACGGTGGCTCACGCCTGTAATCCCAGCACTTTAGGAGGCCAAAGCAGGCAGATCACAAGGTCAGGATTTCAAGACTAGCCTGACTAACATGGTGAAACCACATCTCTACTAAAAATACAAAAATCAGCGTGGTGTGGTGGTGGGAGCCTGTAATCCCAGCTACTCAGGAGGCTAAAGCAGGAGAATCACTTGAACCCGGGAGGCAGAGGTTGCAGTGAGACAAGATCTCACCACTGCACTCCAGCCTGGGCGACAGAGTGAGACTCCATCTTAAAAAAAAAAAAAAGACTCCTATATTTTCAAATTTTACTCACCTATTTCCTTTATCAATGTCCCTTTCACTTCTAGGAATTCTAATTCATTGATATTAAATAAGGTGCAATAAGCAATGGCTGAAAGTACCCCGAAAATAATGACAACTACAGGATTTCCCTCCAGTATGAATTTGCTGGTTTTGCATTTAAGGGTTGAGAGACAGCTAAAGGCCTTGTACATTTACTGTATTCATATGTCCATAATCAATAGCCTTCTCAAAATTATAAAACTGCAAGGTTTCTTTTTAGTAGAAATTCTCCAGTTTGACCAGTAAAGACCTTTCCACACTGACTGTGTTTAAAGCTGTTTCTGTCCAATCATTTCATCCAGAGAAAGGTCTGAGGTGTTTGGCACTACCTATTATAGCTGAAAAAAACTTATATACACATTTGGAATGAGCAGTTCCAGTCCAGGTATAAATTCAACAGAAATCATACACACATATACACACACACCCATGACATAAACAAGAATGTTTACAGCAGTATTTTTATTATTACACAAAATTATAAAAAATACAACTATCCATCAATAGGATAAATAGCAATATATTCTTAAAATGGAATAGTATGCAAAATGAAAATACACTACTGCCACATGCAATAATGTACAAATCTTAAAAACTGAGTGAAATAAGCAAGACACAAAAGAATTCATGATGTATGATAAAATATATATATATATATATAAAATTGAAAACATGCAAAAACTACTTTTTGAAGTTATAGGCTACAGAAATGATAACTCTTAGGTAAGTAACAACTAACTGCTTTTTATTACAGAGTGCAATGAGAAATATGTTCATAAATATTTTCTTATGGAGATTAATGCTTATAATCATTTTGTATCTTATCTCTGCATGTATTAAATAAGTATTTTTAAAAAATAAACTATTTGAGTCAGTAGGAGGAGCAGTTGAAGACTTTAAAATTTAGCTTCATAGCTAATAGAGTTCAATAATGATGACACCCATTTTATATGCTAGTAAATAGTAGATAGTTATTCATTATGGTACTTTAAGTTAATAACTATTATTAGACTTGTGATTTTAAATTACATTAACATCTTTCAGCATGCTTTTCTTTTTATAACTAAAGGTTTACAATAACTTGGAAAGAATTAATGTAAGAAACCACCTCATTTATTGCATTTCAATATTTTCTCCCTTGTGAGTTCTTTGATGGACAATGAGGTTTCTCTTATAACTGAAAGACTTACCACACTCATTACAAACATACGGTTTCTCGCCTGTGTGAGTTCTCTGATGTACAATGAGATTTGTCTTCTGGCGGAAGCACTTTCCACATTCACTACATTTATATGGTTTCTCTCCTGTATGAGTTCTTTGATGATGAATGAGATATGACTTCCTGCTAAAGGCTTTCCCACACTGAGGACATTCATAGGATTTCTGCCCTGTATGTATCTTCTGATGTACAGTGAGGGTTGCTTTCTGGCGAAAAGACTTCCCACATTCATTACAAATATAGGGTTTCTCCCCCGTATGAATTCTCTGATGTAGATTGAGATTTGTCTTTTGACTGAATGACTTACCACATTCATTACATTCATACGGTTTCTCTCCTGTGTGAGTTCGGTGATGATCAATGAGGTATGACTTCATTCTAAAGGCCTTCCCACAGTGAGGACATTCATAAGATTTCTCCCCTGTATGTGTTCTTTGATGTGCTACAAGGGTTGTCTTCTGGCGGAAGGACTTTCCACATTCACTACAAATATAGGGTTTCTCTTCATTATGAGTTTTCTCATGAAGAGCAAGAGTTGTCTTCTGGGAGAAGGATTTCCCACATTCATTACAAATATAGGGCTTTTCTCCTGTATGGGTTCTCTGGTGTACAGTAAGATTTGCCTTCTGGTGAAAGGATTTCCCACATTCTTTACAAATGTAGGGTTTCTCTCCTGTATGAATTCTCTGATGTAAAGAGAGTGTTGTCTTTTGGCGGAAGGACTTCCCACAGTCATTACACTCATATGGTTTCTCTCCTGTGTGAGTTCTCTGATGTCGAATCAGGTGTGACTTCAATCTGAAGGCATTCCTACATTGCAGACATTCGTATGATTTCTCCCCTGTGTGTGTTCTCTGATGGTCAGTGAGGGCTGTCTTTAGGCGGAAGGACTTACCACATTCATTGCAAACAAAAGGTTTCTCTCCTGTGTGAGTTCTCTGATGATCAATAAGATATGATTTCCTTCTAAATGCATTTCCACATTGATGACATTGATAGGGTTTTTCTTCTGAGTGAATTCCCTGATGCAGAATCAATACTGATTTCCTGCAGAAGGATTTCCCACATTCATTGCATGTATGTTTTTTTTCAATATTGGTTGCTCTTCTCTTCTTATTATATACAGATGGATTTTCTCCTCTGTAAGGTCTATTATGTGTAATCAGGCCCCCCCTTTTAAGGAATGATTTCTCACAGTCATTATATCCAAATGACTGTGCTGGAGTTTCCGTTTTCTGATACTGCATAAGAACTTCATTATGACTGAAAGCTCTGCCACTCTGATTATGGGATTTGACTTCAGGATGAGTTGTCTCTTGTTTAGTACTGAGGAGTGATTTCCCATATCCATTATACTCACTAAGTCTCTTTCTTGCAGGATTTAGATTACTGATAATTAATTCTGAAACGTTTTTCAAAATCCTTCCATGAGTATCATATTCAGGAGGTAGAATTTTGGAATTAACAGGGCTTTTGCCTAGAGTAAATGTCTTTTCACATATTTTGTTTTTCTCCTTCACCAGTTTTTTGTGGTTGATGCTTACATCTGATCTAGAATACTTCTCTCGGTGTTCCCTGAATTTTACTAAAAAGTCTTCAGCTTTCCAGTTTTCTTCTAGAAAAGAATATAATTGATAACAATTTGTGAATCTTCACACATTTGCTATGCAAAGGAATTTTACTAGGGTCTAGCATATGGTGCCAAGAGAGACCCAGGACAAATCACCACTGGCTTGGCAGGTGTGCAGGATGGGGAACCAAAACAAAAACCACTTCAGGGTGGAAAAGGATGAAAATATAAGCAAATAAACATTAATCCCTTTTGCATTTTGCACTAAAACTTCCAAGAGAAAGTGCAACCAACCAAGAAGTCAAAGAATGGCAGAAGAGGGATTGACAGTTAATTAAGTATTCAGAAACAATGAAGTGAATCTATCAAAAGCATTAAAATGCACATAGGTTGGACAAGGAAAATTAGTAAAAATGTTTGTTTAGGGAAAATACTAGAGGAAAGATTGCTTTTGGAGAACACAGATCACTTATATTTTTATACACACATCCCTAGAAGACTGTGGTAAAACACTTCCAATTGATCAACACACCTCCTAAGTATAGTCATCATTGGTTAATTTAGCTTGTAAAGTATCAATTCATTTTCTAGTATTTAGAAAAACAATCCTATAGTCCATGCTCTAATCCTCCATATAGGTGGGAATAATTTTCTCTTATGAAAGGAAAACTAGACAATAGGAACTTTAAAATAGATCAGAATATCCTCAATTGCTGTATTCAGATTGCTGCAAAACCCCTTCTTTTAGAATTGTCCAATAACAAAGCTCTCATGACCATCAATTATAACTAGTCCTCTTTTCAGTTGCTGACTCACTTTTTCAGGTTTACAGAAAGACTGACTTACAGCCTTCCCCAGTGCAGTAACGCTTTTTTATTCCAGTTTTTTATATGGTAGATCAGAATACCAGTTTCATAAGGTAGATTCAACAATCTGGTCCTGAATCATATATTAACTTTAACTTTCATTTCTCTTATAGAAGTATAGCTATTTTTAACTTTACTTACCTTGCAATCACCTATATCTAATGAAGCAATGTTAAAGCTACCGTCAAAAATCTATTTCTTCATTGAGTCCAATAACTCCAACACTAATGCAAGGATTTTTACCTGTAAACAAAACTATATTGTCTAGATTGATTTTTTATATTCTCACAAATTTTCAGGGTTGTCCACATATCTGACAGATCTCACCTGTTTATAACAAGTAATTTTTGCCTCAGTTTGGCCTGACACTTACTGTCCTATACATACTTTACTTATGCCCAATAACACTCTTGTGCTCACATTCCTTTAATTAATTAGCTTGCTTTCCAGGCTTATTTCTATTTAAATTTAGAGAATCATCAAGGAAATCCTACTATTCCACAATCTCAAAAACCCTTCATATATTTCCCCGACCATTTTAAGCTTTATTTAAAAATTTCAATATAATTATAGTCTAGAAAAACCATGTTAACAAATCTTTTAACCACCTCACACTTTGACATAAATATTTCATGAAAAATGCAGACTTCAGCTGGATGCAGTGGCTCACACCTGTAATCCCAGCACTTTGAGAGGCTGAGGTGGGTGAATCATTTGAGGTCAGGAGATCAAAACCAGCCTGGCCAATGTGGTAAAACCCTGCCTCTACCAAAAATACAAAAAAAGTAGCCGGGTGTGTTGGTGCATATTTATAATCCCAACTACTGGGGAGGCTGAGGCAGGAGAACGGCTTGAATCTGGGAGATGGAGGTTGCAGTGAGCTGAGATTTTGCCATTGTACTCCAGCATGGGCAACAAGAGTGATACTCCCATCTCAAAAAAATAAAAAATGCAGACTTGATAGTAATACTTTCTCAAAGAAATGAATACTTTATTGGTGATCTTTAAACTCATTTGGGCTGGGCATGGTGGCTCATGTGTGTAATCCCAGCACTTGGGGAGGCCAAATTGGGCGGATCACCTGAGATCAAGAGTTCCAGACCAGCCCAGTTAACATGGCATAACCCCATCTCTACTGAAAACACAAAATTAACTGGGTGTGGTGGTGCATGCTTGTAGTCCCAGCTACTCTGGAGTCTGAGTCAGGAGAGTCACTTGAACCCAGGAGGCAGAGGCTGCAGTGAGCCGAGACTGTGCCACTGTACCCCAGCCTGGGCAACAGAGCAAGACTCCATCTCAAGAAAACCAAAAACAGAACAAAAAATCTGAGTTTACATTATCACTGCATAATCATAGGTAGTGTCTGACAGAATGCAGACACTTCAATCACAATCTATAGGGACACACCCTGAGTAGATACATCTAAAAGGAACTTTCTTTCTGAGTGGATGAAAAGATATGTCCCTTACAATGCTCCATAAGCAATTAACACAGTAACTATTAAATACCTAACATGTTAAATAATACCATGGTAATGAAGGTTCAAAAGGGATCTTGTCTTTGAGAAAAAGAACACCTAAGAATGCTTGATTCCCTCAAAGAAATGAAGATTCAAAAGGGATCTTATTTTTGAGAGCAACAGTCCTTAAACATCCTTATAAATCCTTAAGCGTAAACAAGAAGGAATGAAATTATACAACTTTATCCAAGAGTTGTGCATGTTTGTGTTACAGTCAGTAGTTAGCACAGGAATTCCGAAAACAAGTAAGGTAGATATGATGTACAGTAATCAAGGAATGTGCTTTGTATGCTGACGTTAGTGCCATCTACATAAAATAAAGAGTGTAAGTCTGAGAGTGGATGGTATCATTATAATTGAAAGATTACATGAGGGCATATGACAGAAACGAGACCAATTGTCCAGTGAAACAATAAACATTGATTTAAAATGGTAACTTTGAAATTATCAGCCTGGGTCAAGGTAAGTGAGTTCTAAAATTAATAGCTACATTTGTGGTGCGAAAGGAAACTTAGCACAGAAAACAAACCTGAGGTGATATGAAGGATAGAAAATGTTAAGTAAGTAAGGAGAGGACCACTAACCAATAATTTTCTTTTTAAGGATAGGCTGAAGAATGCCTGAAAGAAATCTATCACGATAAGGCAAGATAAGGACTGAGAATGCTGGAAAAAGAGACACAAATGAATAAAAACGTTCTAAAAGAAAGAAGGTTTATGGTACATTCAGAGTGGCAGTTATCTATGATAATATGAAACAAACTAGGAAAGCACCTATTTGAGGAGAGTGATATACATATGTTTTGTTTTTTTTGAAATGGAGTCTTGCCCTGTTGCCCAGGCTGGAGTGCAATGGCATGATCTCAGCACACCAGAACCTCTGCCTATTGGGTTCAAATGATTCTCCTGCCTCCGGCTCCCAAGCAGCTGGGATTACAGACATGTGCCACCACACCCACCTAATTTTTGTATTCTTAGTAGAGAAAGGGTTTCACCATGATGGCCAGGTTGGTTTCAAACTCCTGACCTCAAGTGATCTCCCTGCCATGGCCTCCCAAAGTGCTGAAATGGCGGGTGTGAGCCACCAGGCCCAGCCAGGGAGCATGATATTTAAAAGTATGGTTCTGTTTTTGTTTTTAAGACAGGGTGTTGGCCGGATGTGGTGGCCTGGGCAACAACAGCGAAACTCCTTCTCAAAAACAAAAAAAACAAAAAGACAGGGTCTTGGCTCTGTAGCCCAGCCTGGAGTGCAGTGGCATAATCCTAGTTCACTGTAACCTTGAATCTTTGGGCTCAAGTGATCTTCTCACCTCAACCTTCTCAACCTTCTGAGTAGCTGGAACTACACGTATATGACATCGTTCCTGCCTTTTTTTTTTTTTTTTGAAACAGGATCTTGTTCTGTCACCCAGGTTGGAGTGCAGTGGTACAATCATGGCTCACCACAGCCTTAACCTCCTAGGCTCAAGTGATCCTCCCACCTCAGCCTCCTGAGTAGCTTGGAAGATGGGGTTTTGCTATGATTCCCAGGCTGGTTGCAAACTCCTAGGCTCAAGGGATCTGCCCACCTTGGCCTCCCAAAGTGCTGGGATGACAGATGTGAGCCACCACACCTAGCCTTGGCTAATTTTTTATTTTTCTTTTTGTAGTGATGGGGTCTTGCTATGCTGTCCAGGCTTGCCTTAAACTCATGGCCTCAAGTGATCCTCTTACCTTGGCTTCCCAAAATATCAGATTATAGGCATGAGCCATTATACCTGGCCTAAAAGTCTGGTTTTGAGTTTTATAGGCGTGAAGTTTTTCACAGGTCAGGAGCCTTTGAAAAAACATTCCTGAAACATTTCAAAGGTATCACCCACTCCTGACCCCTTTAAATTTATATTCTGCTAGACTGTGTCTTCCTAAGAGCCAGAAACTCACCCAAGCGGGTATGACCTGCAAATGATGTCCATGGCTCTTCTCCTCGTTCCAACTTGAGGATCACATCAGGTTTGGTCATGTGACACCCTGATAAGGGAAAATAAGACTTAAGTTGCTTGGGCTGTAATACCGTTGAAAATGAGGAAGGGTTCATGTTCAGTACTGCAAATTAAGATGCCTATTTGTGTAACAATATAAGTAGCACCTTGTACTGGGCAAGGGAAGACACAATCATTCCTTCCACTAACCAAAAGGAATTCATCACCTCTTATTCCTGAAATTCAAGATTATACATAACTTTAGGCACTTTGAGAGGAAGTGCCTGCTACTGAAAGTTTCAAAGAGAATTTTTCTTACCTACAGAGATGAGGTGGCAATAGTTTTCCAACATCACATCCATATAGAGAGTCTTCTGAGCATGATCCAGATGCTGCCACTCCTCCTGAGTGAAGTCCACAGTCACATCGTTGAATGACACTGATCCCTAAAATGGATGGAACAGTAATCAGAACAGGTGAACTTGGCGGGGTGCAGTGGGTCACACCTGTAATCCCAGCACTTTGGGAGGCTGAGGCGGGTCGATCACTTGAGGTCAGGAGTTAAAAGACCACCATGGCCAACATGGTGAAACCCGATGTCTACTAAAAATACAAAAAATTAGCCAGGCATGGTGGCATGCACCTGTAATCCCAGTTACATGGGAGGCTGAGGCAGGAGAATAGCTTGAAACCCGGAGGCAGAGGTTGCAGTGAGCTGAGATCATGCCACTCCACTTCAGCCTGGGTGACGGAGCAAGACTCTGACTAAAAAAAAAAAAAAAAAGAATAGAAAAAGAAAAAGAAAATAACAAGTGGACTAGATATTGGGAAGTACTTATGACCCTGATACTTTGTGGCATTCATATGAATTCCTGTCCAGAAAGACTACAGTTTTCCCTGTTTTATGATTTATATTGTAGGGGAAACAAAAGTAAAAGTAGAAGTTCCTGTCAGTTCATTTTAAAATAACACATTCTAAGAATATTTACTGTGAAGTCACTTAATGCCTAAAACTGTATTTATTTATTGAAGTGCCAAGACAAACACCTTCCTGCTCAGAAGTTAGCAGAGGCATGTAACACATACTTGCAAGAAAAGGTATGTCAACACAAACCTGCAAGAAGGTGTTACAGGTACACAAAAGAAGTATGTACAAGATACAGCATGTATCACAAAGGTATTTTCTCAGGCTTCACCAAGGAGGTAAATGTTTCCCATTTAACATGAATATGTTATACATGAAGAAAATGGTTTGTAAATGCATGGTGAGATTTTTCAGCATGCAGCAATAACAGATTAAAACACTCAAGGAAACATTCCCTCACATAATAATTATAAAATGTACACATGCTATACAATAAACCTGAAACCCCACAGCTCTAATGGCATAAAACCACCACTCACTTCCTCAAAGGTGATGGAGGACAAAAATGAGAGCTCGAGGCTGGGCACAGTGGCTCATCTGAGGTCAGGAGTTTGAGACCAGCCTGGCTAACATGGTGAAACCCCGTCTCTACTAAAAATACAAAAAATTAGCTGGGCGTGGTCGTGGGCACCTGTAATCCTAGCTACTTGGGAGGCTGAGGTAGAAGAATTGCTTGAACCTGGGAGACAGAGGATGCAGTGAGCTGACACCATGCACTGCACTGCAGCCTGGGCAAGAGAGACACACACACACACATACACACACACACACACACAGAAAAAGAAATGAGAGCTGGAAATCTAGGTTAATTCTGGAAGCAAGAGAACTACAGAAAGGATGAAAATGAAAATCTGGGCATGTTTCTGTCAAAACTCCTGGTTGATAAAATATGCATGTTTTGGAGAGATCACAGAGGACTTAGCAAAAAGCAGACAGAAATAAAACAGAAAAGAATTTTGAAAAACAGCTGGGTGTTGTGGCTCACGCCTGTAATCCCAGCACTTTCGGAGGCCAAGGTGGGCAGATCATGAGATCAGGAGTTCGAGACCAGTCTGGCCAACACGCTGAAACCCAGTCTCTACTAAATATACAAAAATTATCTGGGTTTGGTGGCACATGCTTATACTCCCAGCTCCTCAGGAGGCTGAGGCGAGAAAATTGCTTGAACCAGGAAGGTGGAGGTTGCAGTGAGCCAAGACCGCCATTGCACTCTAGCCTGGGTGACAAAGTGAGACTCTGTCTCAAAATATATATATATATTGAAAGATAAAAGTGCATCCAGTAAGATTCTAAGACATCTGCTTCTCGACTGATGGTATTCCACAACCTGCTCATAGCTCAAGAAGAGTAAGACTGAAGGCTTACAGGATTAAGGTGTCAGAGCTTGGATTGACAAAGCAGCACAAAGTGTAGGGGATAAAACTTAAAAAAGAGAAATGCAGGATGTAAGCCCCAAAATCTAAACACTCACCAATTCCTTGACTGAGAGGAAAAGTATATGAACACAAGGGAGAATCTATTTGCTTTCAGGAGGTTAGGATAAAAGGCAGAAGCTAGAAGCTCGAAGAACCAAGAGGATATATCAGCTGCTTTACACTGAGCAAGGAGACAAAGTTTGAGGTTTGATTACAAGCAAGCTAACTGCCTACCAAAAAAATAATTCTCAGAAGAACATAACAGACATGACAGAATTCAGATGAAAATACTGCTTATGAGTTGGGCATGGCGGCTCATGCCTGTAATCCCAGCACTTTGGGAGGCTGAGGCAGGCAGATCACAAGGTCAAGAGATCGAGACCATCCTGGCCAACATGGTGAAACCCTGTCTCTACTAAAAATACAAAAAAAAATTAGTTGGGCGTGGTGGCGCCTGCCTGTAGTCCCAGCTACTCAGGAGGTTGTTCTACTCTCCAGAACAGAGGCAGGAGAACTGCTTGAACCCTGGAGGAGGCGAAGCTTGCAGTGAGCCAAGATCCTGCCACTGCACACCAGCCTGGTGCCTGGCGATAGAGCAAGACTCTGTCTTAAAAAAAAACAAAAAAAAAACAAAAAAAAAACCTACTTATGATGTCCAGCTTTCTAGCAAAAATTACTAAACATGCAAACAAAACAACAAAACAAAAGGAATGGGGGAAAAGGAACAGTAGTCACAAAAAGACAATCACAGAAACTGACTCCTAGTGGGTCCTTATGTTGGATTTTGCCAAAAAAAAACCAAAAAAACAAAAACGCTTCAAAGTAGCTGTTTTAAAGGTATTCAAATACATAACTGAAATAAAAATTTAACTAGATAGGCTGGGCCCATAATCCCAGCATTTTTGGGAGGCTGAGGCAGGAAAATCACAAGGTCAGGAGTTCAAGAACAGCCTAGCCAACATGGTGAAACATCGTCTCTACTAAAAATACAAAAGTAGCCAGGCATGGTGGCAGGTGCCTCTAATCCCAGCTTCTCAGGAGACTGAGGTAGGAGAATTGCCTGAACACAGGAAGCAGAGGCTGCAGTGAGCTGAGACCCTGCCATTGCACTCCAGCCTGGGTGACAGAGCAAGAAAAAAAAAAGAAAAAAGAAATTTAACTAGATAAGCTCAGTAGCAGAACAGAAATAGAGAAAGAATCACTATCTATGTAAATCAATCAAGAAACAGAAAGAAAAAAAATCATGAAACATAAATAGATTCACAAAGATCTGTGGGTCAATTTCAAAAGTCCAACATGAATATAATTAAGAGTCCCAGAATGGGGAGAGAAAAAGAAATGGCATAAATAAATTTCATGGAAATAATGGCCTAACACATCCAAATTTGTTAAGAACTTATACCTTCAAAGAGCTTAATTAACCCTAAAGGGATAAACACCAAAGAAAACCACATTTATCCAAATCCTAATTAAACTGCTAAACAGCCAAGAATTAATTCTACATGCAGCAAAACTATATATTCAAAATGAAGGCAACATAAAGACATTTTCAGATAAAACCTAGAGAATTCATCACCAGCAGGACTGCACCATCAAAAATGCTAATAGGGGCTGAGTGTTGGCTACGAGGGGCTACCGGATCCGTCGGAAATGGCAGAGGTGGAGGAGACACTGAAGCGACTTCAGAGCCAGAAGGGAGTGCAGGGAATCATCGTGGTGAACACAGAAGGCATTCCCATCAAGAGCACCATGGACAACCCCACCACCACCCAGTATGCCAGCCTCATGCACAGCTTCATCCTGAAGGCACGGAGCACCGTGCGTGAAATCGACCCCCAGAACGATCTCACCTTCCTTCGAATTCGCTCCAAGAAAAATGAGATTATGGTTGCACCAGATAAAGACTATTTCCTGATTGTGATTCAGAATCCAACCGAATAGGCCACTCTCCTGACTCCCTGTGTCATTCCTTAATTTAATGCCCCCCAAGAATGTTAATGTCGATCATGTTAGCAGACTGGCATGTGACAGTCACCTTGGAGCCCACTCAGACCAATCCAGTGACCATGTGTGGGCTGGTGGCTCTTCCTCCCCAACCAAAGGAACCCCTGTGCTGTGCCGGCCTTCCCCAGAGCTCCGGGAGGGCCCTCTCGCCTCACTTCCAGGTTTTGGAGCAAGAACTTGCGAGAAGCCTGTACCCAGCTTCCTTCTGACCTTCAGTTCATTTTGTTGCCCTTGGAGAAGGCTGTTTTTCTTTAAAAATAACCAAAATGCATAAAAAAAAAATGCTAATAGGCCGGGCATGGTGGCTTACATCTGTAATTCCAGCACTTTGGGAGGCTGAGGAAGGAGGACTGCTTGATGCCAGGAGTTTGAGATCAGCCTAGGCAACAAAGTGAGATCCCCATCTCTGAGAGGTGGGGGGTGGGGAAATTAATTTCAGGCTAAGGTAAAAACAACACTAAAGTCTTTTAAGAAGGAATGAAGAAAATGAGAAAAACTGTAAGAATATAAATATTCATTTCCTTTTCTCTTTACAAGATATGACTGTTTCAAGCAGCAATCAGAGAATGTTTGCTATTTTAGCATGAAAGCAACAATGGATAATATGTAAATAAATGAGCAAAAATGTGTTTCAATAAAACTTAGTTATGGACACTAAAATTTAAACTTCATGAAGTTTTAGTGTGTCAGGAATATTTTTTTCTTGTAAATGTTGTCAAATGACTCAGATGCAAAAATAATTCTTAGCTTACAATCTGTACAAAATAGGAAACAGGCTGGATTTGGCCTGTGGACTGTAGACCCTAGATTTAAAATAAACATTCTAATACCATTTATTATAAATATAAATATCACATACATGGCAAACAAAAAAGTAAAAGGTGGGTATTAGTAAATGAAACTATAATGTGGCAAGACTGACGTATTTTTACCACAACTAATTTAATATCAACCCTAAGAAAATTCTGATTAAGTTGAAGATGCATACTGTAATCCTAGGGCAATTACACAAAAAAATGCAAATGCATAACTAAAAAGCGAACAGAGGAATGAAAATGAATCATTAAAATGTATGTGACTAACACAAAATACAGCAGAATGT